TGACTATGGAGAATGATTTTTTTCTCGATGTCGTTCAAATTGATTATTTGCGCACTTCCATAAAGTTGATCGGTAAAGAGTCTCATGAGAGACGCGAAACGCAGCCATCTATATATGCGTGCACCAAGTTTAGACCTGGAAAGACACTGATGATTCTCTGGGAAGTTTGTGTAGCAATTCTTAAGCCGAATGGCATGTGCAAAAATTCATAGAGGCCGAAAGGAGTAATGATAGAGGTTCTAGGAATGTCGTCAGCAGCTATGGGACTTTGGTTATACGCTTTGACCAACTCGGCTTTCGACAAAGCACTTGTGCCTTTGTAGTGGTATTGGTTCAAACCACATAAGCCTGAGAGATAAATATGAAATTACCTTTACCAAATGTTTGTAAATGTCACTAAGCTAACTACAGTAACTTCTTATGAAAAGTCTATATTATAACTCATCATATTCCTAACTGTAGTTCCACTAGTCATCCCAACTTTAACAAGCTTTTTTGTCAAGTTCATTGTTCCTAAATCGTCACATTCCTCACCAACCAGCATGCTAACCTGGCTTGTACATGAGTTGCATTATATCTCTATGCCTTTTAAATTTAACAATCTTTTGAATCGTCTTTAACATTCTCACTGAACTCGTCATAGTCGTCATTGCTATACGTAGTTGGGTTTACGAACTAAGCTGTCATAGTTGTCTAAAAAGACGTTGTACGTGGTACTATCGTGCTACACTGATATAATGACTAAACTATCACGTTGTTGTTAGTCAAACAAGCATTCGAAATGAACTTCGGAGCCTACTATTAATATTAACTTTTACTGAACAAATATTTCTGGATCACAGTTGGCAGTATTATAGTATAACAACTCAGATTCATCAATGCTGCGAACCTCAGGTGTTTCGGAATCACCTAAAATAACAATACCAATTTTCCACAGGCTAATTTTCGATCAACACTATAACTAGTTATTCACAATGGTTTCAGGATATCGTCATAAAGCATTGTCATGAACTGACTATTACGTAATATGATTGATAAAATTAATGGAACTATTAGCAGAATCGGTCAACAAATTAACTTGTAATTGAAATAGTTTATTCGTTATCTTCATCCATTACTGATTATGGGTTACTCATTGAGTAAATATCTTAAAACCTTGTCAGTCTTACTGTGGGTTTAGCGACACATTCATGCATGCAAATCATCATTATAAACAGTAGAGCAAATCTCCTGCAAACTGAAAACACTGTTGAATTTACCTCAGCAGTGACTAGGGTTCGAGCCATTATCACATACATGAGTTAGGAGCTGTACTCCCCTTGGTTGCAACTTATGTTCTCCCCGATAATCACATGAGCACTACTCGCTGTTTATCATCAACATCTTGCAACACTGTGTCACCTATATTTGAAAATACGTTGACTCTGTTGGTTTCAATAACTTATAATCACTATATTTTAAATAAGTCGTTTCCTATCTCATGAAAAATTCTATACTTGCAACTAAGTTGTATGCACCATCAGCCGGTAGATATAAATATAAATAGCATTGAGTTTAGAGCATGTCTCTCACATTCCTACTCCAGGAATTGCCCTTAGGTATCTCTCCAAAATAAACACAATTATCGATATTTTTACGTAAAAGATTTTTTGGTAACCATTCATATGTATTAGTAGTGTTACTAAATTCTGTCACGTTTAAGTCAAGAAAAACTCCCCGTAACCAAATAAACCGTAACAAACTTAGCAAACTAACTTGAACACTAGTTGGAATTCTCTTTCCACAGCTATACTTTCGCTCCTCCAGTTAGCTTACTAATGCAAATGCAATTGGAAATCAATTTGTTTGGACAGCTTACCGGCATAAACGTTATTTGACTTCATAATTCAAACTAAAAATAATACCAAGATCAATATTTCTACAGTGCTGATTGTTCCTCAGTTTCTTAGTTGGAATTACTGATATTGCCTACATCTTGAGCCATTAACCAAATTATGTTACTATGCATTTTAATGATAATTATTGGGATAAACACGAAGTGGTTATTAATTGTTATAATCCTACTTTGTTCAACTCCTGAATAACCCTTATGTACATTTAAATTTTTCTACTGGTAAGAATAAAACCAAACATTTTGAAATTACTACATGTATTTCTCGATAAGTTGCTGTCGTTTTCTTTTTGATTTATCTTTCAGCTTATCAATACCCAGAGGATTCCTATTATTCCTTTGGTAACCTCCGAAGCCTAACAATCCCACTCGATATCGTGTCGAACCAACGTGACGTTGATTCTGGTGGTAGAATAGTGTAGTGACATTGGGTCCTAATCACACAATCCTCAAAGTTAAACACGAGATAACTGGGAAAATATATATTCAATATTTGACGCAGAGAGAAGACGGGAAGAATTGTTGATTAAATTCATCAAATGACGCGGCTTAGGCGTGGTCATTTTCGTGTAACTTATCTATTTTATTCATATTAAATATATTGCTCTACCTCCCGTCTAGACGTGTTCTCCATCATATATTGATGATGTTTACGATAGGACGAGTCAGTGTAGACAATGATGTAACTTCCACATATGATCTCATAGGTTGCGTTGTTGCATCATGAAAAACCTACAATTTTCGGATTAGATCTATTATTAGAGCAGCACTAATGACGAGCCTAGGCCATCATTCTACACCCTTTAAGGTAGCTGTCAAATAGTGAATATGAGGGAACGAGTAATGATCAGTACTCGTTCTCATACTCAGTCGCAGATAATCACCTGTTGGACGCCAATCGTTGCTGTTCTTTTTAGAGACATTGTAGAAGGGAAATCCCCACGGGCTGTTCCGTGGTCAAATGATTCCTAAGTCTATCATGTGGTCGAATTTATTTTTAGCCAATCTCATTCTTTCGGGAGTTAGTCGGCGCTTTTTCGAAAATTTAGGTGGTCCTGTGGTCATGATGTGATGTGTAACATTGTCGGTTACACCTGACAAGTTTGTTTGCGTTTGATATAGTTTGGGGTACTTATCGAATATTTGCCTGTAGTATGGATCGATTGTGTGACTACGGACAATCCGCAACCGGAAAAAGAAGTTAGAACACACAGATAATTTAATATTACCATGTACTAACCTCCGTTTGTGCTTGTCGATGGGTGGATTGTGATGTTGTAGGAGGTCTACACCAATGGCATAGAAACAACAAAGATCCAGTGAATGGGTTCGTGTGAACCCACGTTAAGGTAAACGTACTTCTTACCATATTTGACGATTGGCTTTCCGTTTGCTTCCCGTAAGTTTAAAACAGATTCGTGAGGCCGGTCGTTAAAATTACTTGAAGAACGCTAACTTCTGCGCCAGTATCGACAAGGTAGCGAACTTTCGTGATTACATCAGTGACGTGTAACAGACGGCTGTGTCCGCCGTCTACTGCTGATGTTAACGCGTGCCGGCTGGAAAGTTACCCGAAATGTTTTTCTTGTCATTAGTTTGGAGAACGAAAAATTACAAAGCTTTCTACAATTTTGAAAGAATTTTTTATACTTTTGATATCAATACCAATCATTGTCACCTGTCTCTCGTGATTTAGAGACAGATCGTTCTTATGAAGTACTATATCGAGATGTTTGTCTACGGTCATAACGAATACTAAGGTAATGTGTCATAGTATGACAGAGTTCCATGACGTCATTTCGTGTCGTTTGAGGCTCTTCTCTGACTGTGTAACCCTCGGCGTTGGGGTTCCGTTGATCTCCAGAATACGGTCGTCGGATGCATCTGTAATAACTTGTGTTGATTAGTTGGGTGTTTATCTGAAACAATGAAGTACATGTCAAAACAATAGGGCTCAAGAATTCATTCACTGGTTTATTTCGTATAAGCATTATATTTACCGTTATCTTGTCTTGAATACTAAAATTTTTTGAGTGTTTCAGCAGGTGGCCTCCACCGTTGCTGTCCCACGAGTTAAATAAAGACCTGTTCACCACTAGTCGGGCTTCTCCTATCAATAAAAGTGGAGTTACCTAAAGGCACGTCGGGTTCACCAGTTTCACTTTCTAAATATCTATTTATCTGGAAGTCCTACTCGACGCAACTCCCAAACGCAGCGAAGTTACCAGAATGGTGTCATAGTAATGTTTCACATGTCTACCTATCTATCACGTCATCACTGAGATACAATCATGAGTTTTGAATAAATAATTTTGACAGTAAAAGAACACACAATCAATAGTTCTGCATGTCTTCGACCTCATTAGTTTTACTGGACATACTAAAGTTGAAGGTACCCGATCATGTAACCTCACTAGATCACATGTGGTTACGCCAAGCTAGCATCCCTTGCAACAGCTAGCCAACTTAGACCAGGCGTTCCTCAACCTTCCAAATACATCTCAAAACTTATTGATTTCTGACTTCTGATTGGACTAGGTTGGTACAATTCGACTATTATGGTGTTACTGATAAGGACGTTGTCAGACTCCTTCAGCAAAAACTCTTCAGGAGCAAATCTCGGTTATTAGTATGCATTTTGATGACCATGATGAGATTTGAATTAGGAATGAATATGCTGAGCGAAAGGGGACAATGACAGTACATAGCCATGAAACATCATTAGGAATAAATAAAATATCTGAAATCGAGCGTTCTACCGTGAAAATATTGAACACCGAATAGCAAAATTTCCATGGACTGTTAATTCGAATAAAACCCTGAAAAGAACAGCGGATAACCAAAGCCAAACTTAAGTTAGATTCGTTAAGTAAGAAACTGTATGCTTTTTGCTCGTGTACACAGAAAAAGTCTGAAAAATGCAAGTCCATGTCGTAGTTATTGCATGTATATAAAATAAGTCACCCGGCTGAAAAACATACGGACATAATGTTTCGTTCACCGTTTCGTTCAAAAAATTTTAAATATTCGGGAAAAAACACTAACATTTCTCAAAAACGTTTCTTCAAAGATGTGCTGAAGCTTTGACCTTGTTGTTCAGGGTCATAGCGCTGAAGACAAAGCTCTCCCAGTAATGGACTATTATACTCAGGAAGTTCAAAGTTCTTCGTCAAAACCAGAGTTTGTTCGTTTTTGCGAAGTGGTTAGTATTATTTACTTGTTTTAACGAGAGGCAATAGAAGACACAACATTTTTACGATGTACTGACCCCTTATGCAGTCGGAAGATGGTGCTTTACTGTCCTCCTAATCTTCTTCTATATAATACGTATTATCATCACACAGGTTTTTTAATGCTTCGTTCTTCATTGTATTTTTCTCAGGGCTATCACGTAGTCACTTATTTGATGGGAATATTTCTTTTGAACAGGCTAATTGATTTTCTTTCGCCCAAAATCGTACCTGAAACGTCCACTGGTAGCTGCGTGTTTTTCTTTAAAATATTTACTCTCTTAGATGAAGTGCTTCCAACCAAGTCGTCGGAAGAGTTTAGGCCTTTTTTAAGGAAATTGCCTGAACTAAAGTTTTGGTATGGTGATTTTTTCGTTGACTAGTTTAACAGGAACTCATGTACCATATGTTTACTCATATCTATATTCTGTACATTTTTGAGCTTTCTCGATGTACCTGTGTTTTGGCCGATTCTAGTTATGTACTTCGTCTTGCTGTTTTACGTGACTATGAAGCGTCAAATATCGGTATGTTCAATAATCTTCAACTACTTTGTGTATGACACTTTTTGTATATACTTATTGCACTCGAGCGTTCTTACTGTAATTTTTATTGGCAGTTAAGGAGAATCTACCAATTACATTTTACTCAAGCCATATGTTGGCAAATGGTAATGGTTAGAGCAAAACTGCAGTCAGTAATCATTCCCATTACCGAACTACTGTAATTTGTATGGCGCGACTACTATTCATTGACGGAACGATCAGAAGTGAGTGTTTGATTCTAAGGTCATGGCACCTGTTTCAGTACCCAGTCCTCACGTGCGACCGGTATACAGTGAATTTCAAGGAGGTTGTTTAGTTGGGCGGCCACAGAAGGGACTTCTGAGAAGTTCCTTTATTTGTTACTGTAGTGTTCAGATAACTTCTAGACATTATTCAGATTATTTTGGTGATGTTGTATTTCGATATAATATGTGTTGGAAGCCAAAGTCTGCTAGAACGGAGACATGTTTTGCCCGATTCCAATTGACACTAAGAATATGATAATTATTCAAAACTGGATAATAAAAGCATCAGTAACACTAGCTGCAATCTTCGCAGATGGTGCTGGAGCCTCGGCAGTTCGATAGTATGAGTACTGTCGATATATTTTATTTATTATTTATTTAATCACATATATATTGGTACAAAAGGGCACCAGATACATATGCGCCACACAAAATAATGAAAATAGGAAGAGAAAGGATGAAAATATAAGGGGGACTGAAATGTACAACCGGAAGACTCTTTCAGTTAAGAAAGTTAGAACCACTCTTTATGTAGAAAGTAAAAAAAGGTTACAGCAGGTTCGCCACTGGCTTCTATTCTGAGCCATATCTGATAACGTCTCTAGCCACTGTGTTGCACCATCTCTCGGACCCCAGCCAGGGAGTCGTAAAGGACCAACAGAAGTTAGCCCTTTGCAGCTTTCTTTCATGCCACGACACCATGTCATACACTGATCACCTCTCCGCTTTTTCCAACCAGTCCCAGAGTCGGCAAATAATGCACGACGCGGAAGTCTCTGGGACGACATTCGTAAAACATGTCCAAGCCACCGAAGTCGGTGTTTCAAGATGGTGACACCAATTGAATTATCGTCTCTGCGCCCGAACACACGATGCTGAACCTCTGCATTACTAACATGGTGTTGCCACTGAATGTCAGCAATCCTTTGGAGACAACGATGATCGAACACAGAGAGACGTCTAACATCCTCAACTCGGAGAGGCCAGGTTTCAGAAGCATAGAGCAAAACTGCTCTCACCGACGCGTTGTAGATCCGACCTTTTACGGCCAGACTAACATCACGAAGGCGCCAAAGATGGCCCAGATTGGCATAAGCCGTTCTGGCTTTCATTATACGTGCATCAATCTCATCACTCACGCCACCACCAGCACTTATATAGCTACCTAGATACACGAACTTCTCAACTACTTCAATCTGCTCACCATCCAGGGTGAGTACAGGATGAGAATCCTGCCAGTCTTGTAGGAGTACTTTGCACTTGGAGGGTGCAAAGCACATGCCGTACCTGCGGACACTGATTGCCAACTGATTAAGTGCGGATTGCATGTCTTGGGCATTATCACACAGTAAGACAATATCACCCGCATACTCATGGTCGAGAAGTCGTTCTCCGGGCAGCAGATCCACACCGCCATTACTTACATCCATCAGAGCTGTTTCCAGGATGTCGTCGATGGCAAAGTTGAAGAGGAATGGTGAGATCGGGCAACCCTGCCTAACCCCGCTGCTCGAATGGAACAAGGGAGAAAGGTGGTTGTATGCCCTCACTCTGCCTGAGGTGTTCGTATACAGGACCTTTAAGATGTTAATGAACTTCTCAGGCACACCCTTCCACAATAGACAGTCCCAGAGAAGAGTCCTGTCCAACGAATCGAAGGCAGCCCTGATATCAAGAAACACCACGATTGTTGGCCTGCGATAAGTATGACGGTGTTCTAACATTTTGCGGAGGGTGCATATGTGATCAATGCATCCTCGACCAGAACGAAAACCAGCCTGCTCCTCGCGAGTCAATCGTTCTCGGGTTTTAAACAACCGACGAAGAATGACAGAAGCCAATAGTTTGGACGCAATCGGAAGTAGACTTATCCCCCGATGGTTATTACAGGAACAACGTGAACCCTTTTTAAAGATAGGGACGACTATCGACTCATTCCATGATGTTGGAACACTTTCTTGCTTCCAAATCTTTGCAAACAATACAGTCAATTCCCTAGTCAGAAAGTCACCACCATCTTTAAAAAGAGCCGGAGGTAAGTCATCTGGGCCCGGTGATTTGTAACGTTTCAAGAGTTGGAGTTCCTTGCGGACTTCCGCCTCGTTTGGTGGATCAGTCGTCACCGGCCATGGAGGGCAGGGCAAACTGGTTGATGTTGCCGGAGCAGCAGGCCAGTTGAATTGCCCTTCGAAAAATTCCGCCCATCGTCCAAGACATCGAGAGATGTTAGTGATTGGCGTCCTCGTAGATTGTTTCACTCACACCAGACTTCTTTCTGCCAGTGGCTCGGATGAGTTGGAAGAGCTTCTGGCAGTTACCAGATGCAGCTGCTGCTTCCATCTCGTTTGCACGCTCCGACCACCAGGCTTCTCGGTCCTTACGCAAGCTTTGCCCGATTTCATTACGTAACAGCCTTCGTTTGTGGTCAAACTCACGGTCACCCGGAGTAGACCGACGGGCTTCCATCAGTTGTAAGGAGCCAGAAGAAACCCAGTGCTTGTAAGCGGGACGTTTCGCGAAGCCGCAAGCGGCTTTACTCGCCATTTTCATGGCGTCGTGAAGATGCAACTAATGCTCATCTATACTTTTCGGTGGGATGGTAGCTAGCCTAGAAGCTAGCTCCGCTCGATACTTACTTGCAACAGAAGTTGCAGCCAGTTTACTAACATCGATCCGTTGACGGCGGTCAATCTTTCGGCCACTGAAAAGTAAGGTGAGATTGGCGCAGACCAGGGCATGATCAGACTCCAGATAGGTACTCCAAAAGGAGCGGCAGTCCTGTACACAACCACGCCAGCGGTAGCTGATCGCGATGTGATCAATCTGAGTCCAGGCTTGGGATGTAGAGGAAGGTCGCCAGGTAGCACATCGGCGATGACTGTGCCTGTGCTAGCCAGAAACAGGTTGTGGTCTGTGCACAGTTGCAGCAAACGGTCCCCGTTATCTGTCCTGCGACCAACAAGTCCCCATCGGCCACCTAAACGACTCTCTTCTGTGCCTAGACGCCCGACCTGTGCATTCAAGTCTCCGGCTAGTACTGCAATATCTGTCGAACGCGCTTTCTGGAGAAGAACTGTTAACTGATGGTAAAACTCATCCTTGATTGCATCCGGGCTGCAATCTGTCGGGGCATAGGCGGAGATGACAAAAAGACACTGTTTCTCACGCCGATTTCTTCTCACTTTGATGGAACTTTCTAATCTAACAGCACATAACCGACTGTTAATGGGGATCCAATCGATTAGTGCTGCCTCAGCTCTAGCGCTTAGTGCGACACCAACGCCAACAAGACCAGACAAAGATGCCACAGGGTCTTCGGATAAGCGCACGTGAAACAAGCTTTTCGAGGCGACAGATGGAGAGCGGATTTGTAATACTTCACTAGAGTCTTGAATACGGGTCTCGGATAGACAACAAACGTCAATATTAAGATCTTCCAAAGACATAGCCAGTCCTATCTGTTGTCTGATATGCATTAGTGTGCGAACGCTGAAGGAAGCCAGCTTGAACGGCAGGTGGTTTTCTTAGGGGGCCACACCCCGAGCCTTTGACCTAGAGGTCTAACCCACAAGACAGTGGAGCATCGTGAGGAGATGCAGTCCCATGGTAGCCGGTGACCAATAACTGGTTCATTCGCCATTTGTTCCTTCAGGATACGGAAGCCCATGTGCACCATTGGTTTGGAATCAGGGTTTTCCAACTCCCCTAGGTGGATCCTTCATATCCACCAACCCGGTTATAGCGCCGGACATTCGCTTTTCGTCCTCTCAATTTCGTAAACAACACCCCCGCCACGAGAAGGCAGTGAGTAGGACTTCCCTAGCAGAGGCTATATTCGCGTGACCATGTGTGAGCATTTCGAGAGGAAGAGCGGACTCTCCCCACTCTCGGCCGTACCAGGGCATTTGGGGGCACACAATGAAAATGAAAAGCTTGCTGTAGTCGTTTGGAGAAATTAGGAGAATCGTAGAAATTGACGAGACGATCGTTAGAAAACGCTCATTCAATAGAGAACAGCGTTGAAGAAGACTAGGTGAGTAGCACTTCCTTAAATATACTTAAACAATCTTTGATATACATGATAGATCATCTCAAAAAGGATACTTTCAGCACGTGATAAACCAACAGGCTACAATGACACGGTTACGTGCGTCGTATAGTTGTTCACAATAGATATTTTGTAGACTACCACGGGAGTACACATCAACAATATAGAAGAAATGTAGTCGAGGCCTAAAGAATTTTTGCGACCTTATGATGGCTCCAGAGGTCGACTATTGTGAAGTCATATGAATGAGTTCCTGTATCGTATGCGTTACAATTTATGAACAACAAAGCCTCTTTCTAACTTTGAAAAGTCTTTAAATCATGTTAAGAAAGTGTATCCATCCTAAAGTTTTTTAGTTTTGTACAATATATTCCTACTCTGTTCCGAATGTTTTCTGACTGACTGAAATCTCTTGAGATCACTTGAGATTCGTTCAAAGACTGTCCATAAATTATAGTCTTGCTGGCAATAATTTTCTAAAGCACTCATTTTCTCAAGTCTTAAAACGTCAAGCTAAATTCGAAACGGTAATCATCTACTCAATCGAGCCCATAAATTGACGAGCCAAAGGTCAACTGAGTATTGTTGGTTTGTATCAAAATTACCAAATAATTATTTCTACAGTTGTGTGTAACTTATTAAAATAAATAAAGTATGTCGAGAGTATGCACCTGTCACTGTGGGAAAGGTTGGTATTTATATCACACATCATAAGCTGTTGTCAACTTACCCGTCAGTTGTTGCATAAAAAATAGACTCGATAAAAACCCAACTATTCATCATTGATTTCTAAAATCTATTGCATTCCCTGCTATCTTAATATATTTTGTTTTCAAATTCTATACTTACTAGCATATGATCAAATACCGTTATTTACCATTCACCTATGGAAAACCACGTCATCAGTCCAATGAAATGAAATTTTAAAATGGATTCAACTTATACACATTTACAATGTGTAAACAAAATTTGAAATTTTTGTTATGCATCATCGTTCTGAACGATTCAGTACTTATTTTTATGTACTGCTTCTTGTACTTCTTGTGATGAGTCCTACTCGTTCCTCTGAGTATATATATATATATATATAGTGCGCAGTTTCCTACTTAAGGTATACACTTGATTTATGCTTAGAAACAGATGTAAAAAAGTAACATAGTTGAATTTAATCAAATTTCTATTTGCATGTCTTTCTTTTCCTTTTACTTGTCAATTCTTCCTGTTTTCTGCTTTATTCCACAAGAATTTAAAATCTCAAACCAGTACTTTTTGTCTTTTAAATAATCACCCCACATTTCGTTAATCCCAAATTATGCGTTCATGTTTTTCGTAAATATGCACAGTTTAGTTGTGTACCTCCACTGAATGCTACAATAAGACGACTTGGTTATTGCCTATACATGATATTACGGATAAATTCTTCATCTGTCAAGTTAGTATTCGGCTTCCACCGTGTTAACCGAAATAAATGGATTAAACCTGCACTGTGTGATTGGTTCCACAAAAACAGATTTTCATGTCCAACCAATCTTGAAGATTGAACTAATTAATACTAAGGACTTTACTTGGTGAAAATTATCGATCTAATATGTGTAGAAATATTTCAGTGTTTGTTTCTTATTAATGCAAAATCAACTAATTCCTGAAAAGCACTTGGATTTATTAGTTATAAATCCATTATTTGAAAAATAGATTTATTAGACAGAAGTATTTTTTGTTTTTCTGGACATCTATATCACTTAGATCAAAATAAGTTGTCCACTGCTGTTATCTGAGCTGTGTTCCAAGTTACTCATTATCAACGTATAGCCTAGTGTAAATATACCTTAACCCAATTTGTCATAACACATCAGCATGTCTAAATGGATAGCAAAAAAGTCAAGGCAATCATAATAGTGAGAAAGACTAGACATTGAAGATGTAATTCGAAATGAAATAATTGTATGAAGGGACATTAAAACTCATGATCTAGGAGAGGATGAAGAGTAAATATATCCGCTTCACTGGGACGGGTCCCATGGAATACACAAAATGTTTAGTACTATTGATCGCATGGACTCCAACGAGGTAGTAAGTGTACACCAGCATGCCTGTGTCCAGTAGTTAGTGATTTCACAAACTGTTGCTACGTATTGCTTTGGTCACTCCCAGCTTTCTTCCAATCTACTACAGCCACTATCACTCGTCGAGGTAAGCAGTGATTGAGTACATACAAAACTTCCTAGCCAATTTTTCTGGGTTCCTTATCTCTGACCTTAGCATTACTCACTTGGTTGTTCGACCATGCATGAGCAATTTAATCTCCTAGACTGAAAATGGATTATAGTTCTTCACTGACAGTTGATTTTTAATACCTGTTTCCTTGAGTCATAACAGTCATCAAGTCTTATTTATCGCCTCTGCCTTCTCGCTCCATCACTGCTCATGATCATCAAATGTAAGCTTTTAGTGCACACCCAAAGTGTCATTACTTCTCGTTCTTCGATCTTCTCTGGGTGAGCTTTTTAACTACCTATACACTCAGTATGAGTTTCTGAAACCCATTGATATTTTCTAACCTTTTGATTGCAGAGGATGGCGAATATCTCTTCTCTATTTACGACTGTTTGGATATCATTCCAAGCTTCTTTGGGACTATAGTTTTCTTCATAATTGACTCAGTGCTCACATAATCCTTTTTCGAATGGATTCTTTTAATTCTTGAATGAACATCTAATAGGTCTTCCTGGTAGTTCCAATGTCCAGGAACACATATGAAAATGTGAGCTCTCACTAGGGCATGATCGGAGTCTAACCATGTGCTCCAGCATCTTTTTATCAAACTTTTCCAAAGCTCCTTGGTGATGATGTGTTCTATTTGTTTTTATCGACTTTGACGTTGCCATATTAAGTATTATCCCTCCGTGTGCTTGAAATTAGTGATTTCTGGGAATAAGCATTTATCTTAGTATAATTAGAGGAGACTGCCACCGTTTTGTCTAGTGAGCTGAGACCCCAAAAGGCACACCTAAGTGTCTTACAGATTGACTTCGCCTACTTGAGCCTTAAAATCACTTGTGGTTGACGCGTTTGGTTTTCTGAAGGAATCTTCCAAAAAAATTCATTATTTGCTTCTTCGAACTGCAGCCATTTGGCCCGTAGGCATAAACAATGACGATGCAACACTGTGTCCATGTTTTTTAGAATTCCTACGCTACCATTTAATTGGACAGCACATAAGCGACCGCCCACAGTAATTCATCCACGGAGTACATGTTCCACTTTCGAATAGTACTATACTTACATCCGCTAAGCCATGAGAAATTGATACTGGGTCTCTGGACATACTGATGGTAAGTTGCTCTTTCTTTTCATACTAGCTACGTGGAGTCGAATGAATGACCCCTCTAGGATCTTGCATACATGTTTCGGAAACGGGATACATCAAGTTCACGACATTCTAGAGTCCCAATTAGTGAGGCCTGTTGCCCACTTTGACGTAGATTTCGAACATTGAAAGTTCCAACGCGTAGTTTTAAGCCCGGCTTCAAGTAACCTCTTATGGCACTTTGTGAACTCGAACTGTTAGCATTGGTGGTGCATACGGAAGAACTCAATACAGGAAATTGGATTTGGTAATGTGAAAAAAATATATTAGGGTTTGGTTGTAACATGGTGATCTCAAGTGTTGTTAAAAGTATAAGGAAAATCGTCACATCCCAAACTGTATGAGAATAATTTATACGAATATTCGTCAAGATTAGAACGAATAGTTTGACAATAATTGGGCGCCGAGTATAGAGAATTCATTATATGTGAAAAAATTATATTTGAAATAGTCTCAGCGATTGAAATTTAAATAATTCCAACGTTTCGTCCAGACAAGTTAGCTGGACGAAACGTTGGAATTATTTAAATTTCAATCGCTGAGACTATTTCAAATATAATTTTTTCACATATAATGTATGAGAATAGTTCCTCTTGAGAGTCTTGAAAAGGAGGCTGGATTAATGGTCTCGTTGACGTGGGGTTGACCGCAGAGACTACTTCCTAATATTTGGACGGGAAGAGAGATCTTTTATAACCCTCTTCCTCCGATATAAGGATGTGGCATCTTTGGAAATTCCGTTTTCCTGAAAGAAACCCATCTCTGTATTCGAATTTTGGTACTTTCAGCAGTGTGACTTCGCACTCTGACCTTAAGTTTTCTGCTTTTAGTCTCACCTCTGCCTCCTAACTTCTCAGAATACGAAGCCTAGACTACGTCTTCATAAAATATATTTATAGGGAAATAACACTGTCTCCGATGGTTTTTGGTGATTACCACTCACGCTTATATAACCATAAAATGAACTTTATGCTGAAAAAATCCCAAGACTAAATGAATACACAACACGGTTTATCAGAATACAATAAAATATTGGACTAAAATAATTAATAGTTGAATTCATCAAAATTTAATCGAATATTAGGGTGAACGATTATCACATTTGAACCAATGGATAGTGTTACTCTCAATCTCATATTATCAAGAACTCTACCAGTGAAAACATATGTTGCGTGTACGAGACCTCTTACTATGGTGTTGGCTATTTATATCTACATAAGTAGTATATAACGATGGTCGGGCATTGAGTGTATTTCAGAAGATCGATAAGGAAAGAACGGGAACGGAAAGCAATTGGTATGAAAATGCATGAACAATGAAATCAGAGACAATGGAGTGATATTCGCAGAAAGAATAGTCAAGATTGAGACAATAGATTGATTGTTCGCAAATTAACTCTTTACTGTATGGTTGTCAGGTTTTAGTGAGATATTCTGTAATTTTGGGTCCACATACATTCGATTGTCCCCACTCGCCTTCTTGTTCACCACATTACTACTTCAAACTTACCATGCTTTCCGGACCAAATGTAATAATGAAGAGACTTCATAGTGGTCAGATTATGTTATGTAACAAACTTGTGATGTCCATGGTTGATAGCAGTTTAAGTGACCCAAACGAGTTCAATAATTCACTAAAACGATAACGGGAAACTTTATAAAGTACGCGTTATCCGAGTTGAACTATGTTGTTCGGATTCTTTTTTAGATTGAACTAATCCGCTACTACGAAAATCCTATCAATGTGACAGAATGCTTCTCTTTAATATTCCGTAAGCTTTAAATAAAGCAGATATTCTAGGATCTAACTATCCCGTGTTAAAACTTCTCCTTCTTCAAACCAGGTGGATATTCATATGTATAAGCGTTAACGTAAGCTTAGTCACTATATCTTATTTCAAAGAAGATTAACTGACAGACGGATATAAAAGTAATTATACACACTAGTCTTTTAGTCATAATCGAAATAGTAAGTGGAGAAAAGTGATGGATGTAGAGAAGGTTTTTGAAAAGGTAGTATTTCATTTCATGATATTTCTGATGAGAGGTTTCACCTAAATAAAATTTTACGAAGAATTACTTTGCACCAAATAACAACAAGTAGTATATGGCAGAGATCGGAAATAGGATGCTTAGGAGCAATAGATTAAAATCAAGAAGATAAGAGTGAAATGGAGAGCAATCAAAACAACAACAGAATTAGAGGAATAATGGAGTATGTATGATGTATTTAATGTATGATTTTCACACTTTAGTAAGGAACTGTGTGATTTTGCATTATACAATAAATTAGCTTTCCTCATCTGATTTCTCGTTCAGTATACCGGTATTAGGAATTAATTATTCTCCAATGTTAGAAATACATATGTTACTGACTGTTAAATACAGGAGTCGCGTTACTGAACTTATCCTAACAGTTTATAATTTGTATTAAAATAATCCCTTAATTCTTGGAATCCTTAACTAGTTCACGTTATTCTTGTCGACTAATTTTGTAGTGATTCGTCATACAATATATGTTCCCTTACTAACTCAAATCCTCATTATTTATCAATTCTCTATGTTCTTCAACACAATTTGAGAATTCGATTATCTTTACTGGCAAATTTATGACAAATATTCATTTGAAATACAGTAACATTAAGTCACTAATTTGATTCATAAAAAAACCATTAATATGATCCCATATGAATCAGATTATATCAATCGCAGTTTAAATAGTCCGTTCGAAATGTATAGATTAACCTTATTTCCTCTTGCCTTTCATAATAACTAATCATAACTATTCTAATTTACTTTTCTCTTTTTTTTAAAAATTGATAAGACTATTTTCCAACATATAAATAAAACTGTAATCCACAGTAATGACAGACCAAAGTTCAAAAACTCCATAGTTTTGCTTTTTTCGGTCTTTCAACTTTTCTATTTTGTTTGCCTTTTTAATAATTACCATCATTTAATCAAATGCAAAACTTTCAGTAGATAGTTATCATAATGTTTTTTATCTATGAAGAATAGCTACTAACGATTAGATAGTAATATTCCGGAATTCCTTAAAACAAGTTGACTGACTCGGAATATTCTTATATCCGAATAAAATTGTATCACTTTATATTTCTTAGGAATAAAAAGTTAATCTTGTTCGTGATTTATTGATTATACCCTGATATAATTGTATCACTCAACTGAGATTTATATAATCTTCGAAATGTGATTATCATGATGAGATCAAATTCCTCCATGAAATTTATGATATATTTCCCGTAGAAGCTGAAAGGTTTACGGTCATTTAGACTGTTTTAAAGTGGGATATTTTCAGTACGCTACAACAAAAGTTTATTTA